GGGAACAAAATAGGGTGTGAAGAAATGAAGGGAATTAGGCTTCTTTGTAAAAATTTCACTGTGAAGCTCCCAACTGCTCAATACACAGAAGCAAGGTCTGAATACAAATGCTGCTCTATGGCTGCTGAGAGCGACTCACAGGACACCGGATCAGAATGCCACTTACCAGCTGCTGCATTTTTCCTTTCTCTCATTAGAGGAGCCAAGACAACTCTGTCAAAGCAGGTGATGCAAGACTGTTGCTGACTCAGAAATATTCAAATCCCTTAGGAATTTCTCCAAGAAACAGATTGGCAATCTGGAGGTACCTGGGGAAGAGTTTCTTACATTGCGGTCAGTAAGAATCCCGGGTGATTGTGGCCACAGGGAGACAAATTGTTTGTAGCTAGCTATGGCGAAAAAATACTTGACTTTCAGCAGAGAAGTTTAAAATTCAGAATGATAGAACTTCAAGAGGAGACAATGGTGGCCTTCGTACAAATCAGAAACTCAATTTACATCTGTTCAAAACCAGTCAGGTTTAATGCAAATTATTATTATTTTTTTTTCTGGCAAATACTGCCATCTCCTGGAAAATAGTAAGAAAATCCCAAACATACAAATCATTAGATCTCTACAATTAAGGCATCCTTTTCAACACATACTCTACACAACTAGACAAATCAAAGTAGAAAGGAAAATCTGGTCCAATTCTATTGTATGATTAACACTGTGCTGGACACTTTCCATATTTATCATCTAAATGTGAACTACCAAAGTATAAAACAGCAATCTTTGCCCTATTTTAATGCTGAAGAAAATATTAGGACCTCTGGGGCAAGAAGGAAGAGAAAGGGTCTGATCAGGAAAGGGAAGATGAGGACCCATCTGTATTGGTAATAAGGATTTAACTTGGATAGCAGGTTTATGGGTGTGTTACAGCTTTCCTTAAAATCTGATACACGTGTAAAAATGTTTTATAATAAGTCACTTGTGTAAATATTCAGAGAGGTTAAGTAACTGAACCCAAATCATCCAGCCAGAGTTGATTAGAAGCAGGGAATCTGTGGTTCTACTAAGTTGCTTCTCTTAAGTGGTTAAGTTCACCACAGTCTATAAAGTGCTTATCTATGTAAAATGAATTCCAAGTTGGGTGCAGTGGCCCATGCTTTTAATATCAGCAACTAGGGAGGATCACAAGTTTGAGGCCATCCTCAGCAATTGAGCAAGACCCTGTCTCAAAATAAGGAGGACTGTAGCTCAGTGGTAAAGCACCCCTGGGTTCAATCCCCAGCACCAAAATAAAACAAGATGAATTCCGACTCAAAATATCCTTACACCTTCTGTACATCTGTCTTACTATATACAAGTGGTAGAAAGTAGGGAGACTGTAGCATTTTAGTCTATTAATTTGACTACGATCTTTGCTAAGCCTTTAGCCATCTATGATTTCACTAGAGATCATTTAATGAAATATTTTCTTGTCATGTTAGCTTGTTCCATGGCTATAATTACAGATACAAACCTCAGGGCAAGGATATCACCTTATAATGTTGAGATGCTCTTTATGCAACAATACGTCCATTTACTTATTTTGTGTGTGGGGGGAATCCATGACGGTGACAGTAGGAGTGTAGGAGGAACTACCTATTTTTAAGAATTATGCTCTTCTATCCAGTCCTCTTAAATCTTAAGGGATAATGGGCCATCTTTTTTATTTTATAAAAAGAAGCAGCTTTTTATAAGGATGCATAGATAAGACATGCAAGGTCATCAAGTATACCTGTATGTGGGAAGATAATTAAATGAAAAGGTATTAAATGAAAAGTTTATGGCCAGAAGAAACAATAATCCTATAAAAGTTTAGGTATGGGGCTGGGGATATAACTCAGTTGGTAGAGTGCTTGCCTCCACATGCTATGAAGAAAAAGAACATGGGTAGAAACGGCAGTGGGAAAAGCAGGGAAGATCACTTTAGATGAGTTAGGATCAAGGTTTTTAGACACGTTCTCTGAGGTAGGACTGAAGGCCACTTCAGAGCCTTTCGGTGAACTTTTTCCTTCACCAGGAATAGGCCCTGGCCAGCCTGGGTTACCTAGGACCATACAGTCTCTAAAGCTGAAGCACAAGGGAGGCAAGGGCTGGTGATTAATAAACAACTCCTTACATCCAATTCTAATCTTGGGAGAGAATCTGCTGGTTGGAATCTGTAGGTGGTGGTGACAAAAGTAGATTTTTCAGGATGTACTCAATGGTCAGTTCTAATTATAACTGTACTTAATAGGTGAAAATGAAATTTCAAGAGCAAGAGAAAATGAAAACCCCTAATTGTGTCAATCTCTGATTTTCTCTACTATTTTATGACTATAGTAATTTAGCCCTAATCCGAAGAGCTATTTCATCAAATATACTGTATCTGACAGTCACACTGTAATGTCTTGTCTCACGTACACATTCAAAAAGTTGGATCCTGAGGGATAATTTCAAATACAAGATATTACACAAGAGTTCCTTATATCTAAACCTTTCTCAATTCCCAATAATCTCAACCTCAATGTATCGGGGCCATAAAATAATAGTACACAGGGAACACTTATAGGAAACTAGATATTTGGGATACTAATATTTTCTCTGATTTCAAAATTTTAAACTGTGTTTAAATGAGAAATAAAAGCAATTCAAGTCTACTTTTGTGGGTTTTACTAAGTTGGTATTGATAAGCCAGTGACATGTTTTACCTCTTCCCCAGCCTTTTGATGGTTTATGTTCAAGTCATCAAGTATGTTCCCACAAACCCGCCAGCACATACTCAATCCAGGTGCCCAAGACTTAACAAGTGACCTCCAGGGCTGGACTATCTGCAAAGATGACCCTTCATAGGACTTATGCCACTTACTGGTCTTTTCTGCTAAAACAAGCCTTTGTATATAAGCGCTAAACTACGTAAAAACTAGTGTCAGAGCTGAAAAAGATCTCAGAAGACACCTCAGTCTCCCTGAGCTTAAATACACACAGAGGTACTAAGGAAGGGCCTTTGCCAGAGATTGTACTGGGAATTACAGTTCAAGGCAAGACCAAGGACTAATATTCCATAGCAAAGGGCCAGAGGAATAAGGTTTATGAGGGCCTAACAGGTGCCAGACACTTGATATATACTGTCACTAAATTCCAAGGCATCAGAGGCTCCATTTAATAGATGAAACTAACTCAGAAGTGAAGTGGATTGCCTAGTAACCAAGTATGTGAGAAGGGGAGGACTGAACAGTCTTGTTTGGCAACAACATCATTTTCCATTCACGGTACTCTGAGGTCAAAAACTCCCAGACTGCCGAGCTTCTCAACCAATCTCAATCCCACTTGTCATCTCCATCAACCCAATACTAAATTCAAACCACGTGAAAGCTATCTAAGCACACACGGTGTCGGGTGGAGAAGCATATTGCTCAGGCTGCAGGGACATTTCATTTATTTAAATGTTTTTATTAAAAAAAAAAATTAAAGACCTTCATGGCACAACTTCTTCCCAGCACAGTTATGATTTAGTTATACCAATTACAATACAATTACAACCAATAAATCAAAGTGAGGGAGGACTTCTGACTTTAAACTTAAAAAGGTGGGGGTGAAGAGACCACTTCAAAGAAGGTTAAAAAATGTTAAAATCCTTTCAGAATAACTGCCAACATAGCCATTCTATATTGGCATTCCGTTTCCTGCCATCTAAGCAATGCAGACACAGGTAGTGCTGAGAAATAGTGTCCCAATACAAGGTATGCAGATGAGGTAATTTACAACAACACAGAAGTTGTTACTCTGTAACCCTTGCCCCACCCACCCACCCAAATGGGTCTTTAAAAAAAAAAACTCTCTTCATGCTTCTGCTATGACTCCTTAAGTAGCATTTTTAAAAAACATTTATGTATTTTAAAAGGCTCTTGGTGGCACTTCAGAGTCCTCTGCAGTCACCTTCAGTTCTCACAAGGTCTGAGAGGTATGAGGAGGTCCACTGTCTGTAGCTCTCCACATCAATCTCAGCTACAACTAGATTTCTGAGCTACAAGACTGGGGTGTGAAGCCTTGATTTCCAACCCTCCTCCCCCACCTCAAAAGAAAAAAATTCATTAATCATAAGCGTCCTGTTCAAGCACAATCCAGTGCAAACGTAATCACAAATTGCATCTCTGGCACATCTGGTGCTTTTTAGCTTCTGCACAAGTTCAACATGGTAACCCTCACAGCATTCTAGGGCATCAAAGGGTTAAGTACAATAAATAATCACTGTAAGTAGCTACAAGGAAGAAAATCACCCTGTCACAGTCAGAATGTTTTCCCTTCAGTTCTCCCTACAGTTGAGAAGCATTATAAAAGGAGGCGTCGGCTTCCTCTAGAGTTTACCATTATATTCCCCAAAGCCACCACCTTGATAAAGTTACTAAAACCAAGATGGATTACAAAGTTAGATAAGTTCATTAAAGTCAACTCCCTAAACAACTGCTTATTTATGATGCCCAGGTGAGAAAGGCTTGTGAATCTATAAGGTAGGAGAATGGGGAACTAAGATTTTAGGCCTTAAAATACGTTGGAAGAATTTTTTCCTAGTCCCCATAAGCAGCTACTGTAATGAAATAACAGGAGAAAATACAGAGCTGATGGTTTTGCTATTGTGCTTAAAAAACTAGGCTTCCTTAGTGAAGCACCTGATAAACTTAGGTGGTTGGAGTACAGTGGAAAGTCCACTTTATACACACACACAAACACAAAAACTGGCGACTTTTTCCATCCCCAATCCCTGCACTGCTGACACAAAATGAGTTTTATGGCAAAGGATCCTTAATCCCCAGAGACGCTTTGGCTTGTGGTGCTTTTTTAAGGCCTCTCTGCCCTGCCCAGTACCATGGGTCAAACAAGGGGTGTATAAAAACCAGGGCTTTGGGAAGCCTCCATGGTACAGGGCTGCAGGCCCCTCAGATGTGAATGTGAGACACCCACCCAGCGAGACCTTTACACAGGGAACTTAAATCTAACCTTGATAAATAAAACCAAACGTTTATTTACACCAAAGAATTCCAACACTGGATCTTTCACATATGAAGGACAAAGTATTATATATATACACACAGCAAGGGGTGGCAGGGCTGTAACAACAGTTGATAGTGGCCCACGATTACAGGTCTACCATTTCTGTTTCACTGGAGATAGTGGCTCTGCTCCTGCCTTTTAGATACATTTATAAGACCGAGGAACAGGTCTTCTCATTGGATGGCATGTAAAGGAAGGGAGGGTAGGAGGAAAAGAAGGTAGAAAGCTTAAAATGAAACTCAGCGTGGCCTCACTGCCCATTAGTTCTCAGAGCTGCTATCATGAAACCTACATAGAAAATGTTCTTTTGAGAAAAGCAGTAAGCTATGCCCAGTAACCAAGTGACTTCAACATGGCCAAGTCAAAGAAAATGAAAAGATTTTTGCCTTCTCCCTCCTATCAGCTATTGAGCACAGCATGTTGGGAGGTGAAAGGGGAAAAGATCAAGGTAGGAAGGAGCCTGGGAGGGAAGGTATCACAATTTTAAACTAAACTAAAACTAAAATTATAAGTGAGCTGGATTTAGGGTTAGGTCAGTAAGACATGATTCATACTAAACAGAAGTTTTTAGGATCTGTCTGCACTTTGTGTAGATTTTCAACATCTCAATATAAGTAAGACACGCTTCCACTAGAGTCACCAGGATAACCCCACTGAAGCACTTCTGGAGTAAAGTCATGTAAGTGACCAGCAGTACACTGCTCTTAGATTGGGTCCGACCTGCCTCTCTTCCTTCCTGCCTCCTGAGAAGTTACGTTTTTGTAATCTCTGGAGAAGAGCGTGAGATACAACCCCCCAAAGTGTAGGAAGATGGGGGAAGCAACAGTGGGAATGGGAAGAAATCTCTGCCCAAATGCAGCAGCTGGGATTGAGGCTGGTTTATCTTTGTTCTTTAGTCATGAGGAACTGAATTTGGAAGGGGAGAACAAAAATCTGTCCGTGAAATATTCCACCTGCAGGTAATTTTTCAGGGAATCCCCTGAGTTATGAAAAGTTCGAGTTAAAAACAAAAAAGAAAAAAAAGTAAAAGAAAAAAGAAAAAAAAAAAGAAAATCAGCCTATTATAATTTTTTTTTATGACTGAACTACTATAAATCCACAAGCAACGGTTCAGACACGGTGCTTCTGAAGTGTTCACCCCTCCCCGCCAGGCGCAAGCTGCATCAAGGAGAAGGTGGACTTCCCCACCTCTGCTCAGGCATCAGGAGACAGATGGGGCCATTACTGCTGAGCACCAGCGGCAGCTGGAACAGGCATCCCCAGGGGGTTGGCAGCAGCAATCACTGGTGAGCCTGCCAGAGGTCCAAGGGGCGATGGGGTTGGCACTGAAGAAATCCCTGAAAGAAAACAGCTAACAGTGAGTCAGAGATACCAAGCACAGCAACAGCAGTCACTAGTTTTTCTTAGGATTCTTTTCTTTAATGAAGGCTCCCTCCTGGTCAATTTTTTACCCATTATCTTGGAACCAGATCTCTAACAGAACATGAAACACTTACTCTCATTCTTTTCTATAGCCACATGATATCCCACTGAACAGATGCCCCATAACTGATTTAACCAGCTCTCTACTGATAACTGTTTTCAATGTACTGCTAACACAAATAAGTAATCTCAGCTGTACATTATTGTGCACATAGGTAAAATACTTTAAGAGGATAAAAAATAAACGGCAGCTAGTTCTTTAAAAAAAAAAAAAAAAAAAAAAAGAATCGAGACAGGCACAGTGGCACCCATCTATAATCCCAGGTACTTAGAAAACTAAGATCAGAAGTTTGCAATGTGAGGCCAGCCTTAGCAACTTACTGAGACTCTCAGGATAAAAAAAGGGCCGAGGATGTTGCTTGGTGGTAAAGTGCTCCTGGGTTGAATTCCCAGCACCAGGAAGAAAAAAAAAGAAATGAAATGGCTGGGGGATGTAGCTCAGTGATACAATGCTTACCTCACATGCATGTGAGGGTATATGAGTAAATGCCTTATAATCACCAGTGTACCCACTTGGATGTTACCTGAATGCATAATTCTTAGGGTATGGGCCTATAGATACTTTTTTTTTTTTTTTAAGAGAGAGAGAGAGAATTTATTTATTTATTTATTTTAGTTTTCGGCAAACACAACATCTTTGTTTGTATGTGGTGCTGAGGATCGAACCCGGGCCGCACGCATGCCAGGCGAGCGCGCTACCGCTTGACCCACATCCCCAGCCTGATACTTTTGAATAATTGTACATTTTATTAAAAATCACAAAACCACAGTTTAATAATAATGGAAAACAATTTTGTATGAATTATACTTCATAGTCAAGAGAGTGTCACTAAAGTAAATTTAAGTATAAAATGCACCTTGAGACCTGATGGGAAAAGCCACATGGGCTGGTCTGTCATCAAGGACAGACCACAGAGAAGATACATAAGAAATCAGGCCACAAAGAAGGCATGAAACTAACAGTAATGGACTTCTACATTTTAAATGGGAATATACCAACAAACTGACCTGACATCATATTGGCGCTGCTGACAGGTGTACTGCCCCCTGGCATGTTAGATGAACCCATTCGAGCCTGGTCCTTTACGACAGTGTCTAGAAAAGAGACAAAAGATTATGCTCTGTTTTGTTTGAAGGCTAAACTAACCAGCCTTTGGGGGCCTTATAGCAGCCACCTTCAAACTTTGCATTTTATCTTACTCCATATTATTCCTGGAACTTAAGGTAGCAATTGCCTTCACCATAAATTAGACAAGTAGCTTAAAGCAGAAATACCTTTTCTGTCCAACGGTGACAAAGGTAAACTCTGAAACCAAATGGTAGGAAGATAAGGTAATTACCATAATAGCGCTAACTTAAGATGTTAAGTTGGTAGTGATGAAGTTGGGGCTTAATGGAAACAAATACAGTCTAACTTGATCAAGACAACACTCCTCAGGGAACAGTCCAACACTGATGTGTCACTGTAGCAGCATTTAATCCAGGACAGCACAATTAGCTATACTCATAAATGTAAATCAAAGTCTACCTATAATATTATAAGCCTTACTGGGTCTCCCCAACAAATGATTACCAGAGAAAGGACAGATGAAGTACTGTTCATTTCTAATTCAACTATTCCAGACCACCCTCTAAACAGTAAATTTATAGATTTGAAACCTCCCCCTAAATTTGCACAATGGTTGCCATCAATGTCCACTTGAAGATACCGAGGCTCAATGTGGGCCAAGTAACTTGCAGGGAGCTAACAGGAGTTAGACTGCAGCTCTCTCCAACGGGACCAAGGGAGCAGAGCTTTCTTCACAGCATACATTCTGCCTCACTTCTCACATTCTGCCGGGAAGTGATGGGAAAGCCTCCACAGGCTGTGTGCAGTTAAGACTCACAGAAATAGGGATGTTCCATGGCCTCTCTTGCAGTGAGCCGTGACTGGTGGTCATACCGCAGCAGCTTGTCCAAAAAATCCAAGGCCTCAGGGCTGACAAGGTGCTGGTTTTCACTATGTACAAAGCGTTCCCATCGCTTACGAGAGTGTCTACAAGGACAAAAGGGGGAATGAGAAATGGCTCACAGGGATAAAGAAGCCCAATACTTCATTGCTACATCTTCCTCAGCCAACAGAAAAGAAAGGCAAAATTCAAGATAGCAGTCTTGTACCACTCTACCACAGTGGGGGTGGGGTGGGGTGAGAAGATGACAAAGCTAATTGGAGGCTGAAAGTAGGAGCGTTACAAAAAAGAGAAATCCGAGTCCTCCAATTTTAAGATCCATGAATTCAGGTTATTTTATAGGATGTTGTGAATGTTCCTTGCAGCAATGAGGGCAGGAGGCTGAGCTAACTAGACCTCTTTCCTGTTCCCACACACATCCCCGACAACTTTGCCATTTGGCGAGCAGAAGCCCTTGCATTAGGAAAGTCCACAAATTTCTGTTAAAACCTAAATCAAGAGAGATTGTGATTTGTGCCTCAACTGTAACCCTTACTCTAAAACCCGTTTCATTAATTTCATAGGAATTCTCTTATTACAATCCTCATACTTAAAATCCTCTAAGTGAATGTGAGAAATAGTCATTCAACCCAATGCTTTACAGGCCTGTTCAATGCAGCATCCTGCAGCACCAGAACATGGGCACTCTAGCATTGCTGGCAAAAACAACAGAACTATTTCAAGAATCCAAAGCGTCAACTCAAACCTAAGCAATTATGTCAGAGATGCACAGATTTTATGGACTTACCTGCCCAAGATATCATTGAAACGTGGATCTAATTCAATGTTGTATTTGTCAATATAGTCATATAAATCTTCTGTCCCCAGAACCTTGGCTATCCTCACCAACTAGTATTAAAGAAAGACAAAAACCCAAACCACAAGTACATTACATGATTAAATCAACAACCACAACCAAATTAACAGAAAGGCGCCATTATGCCTATAGGTATGAATGTTACCTCCTAATAGTTTGTGATTCAAATTTGTGTGCAGCAGGAATGAATTGACATAAAATTCTCAAATCAACTCAATGTGAAAATGTTAGAAAAAACTGCTTTTTAACTTTCCGCTTGAAATGTTCCCCTACTGGAACTGTGCCCCTCACCCTGCCAACCCAACTGAAGATATCACTTCTTTTGGGAAGCTGCCCTTGCACATGACGACTACTCTCCACCACTGTCTTTGTACCTTGGTACTCTGACAGTTACAGCTCTAATTAATTTCCTTATCTGTTTAATTCTCTTACAGATGCTCTATGAACTACTTGATAAAGACTGAGTCCTGCGTGGCACCTGACAGTTACTGCCTTTGTCAGGTTGTATTCTATCATTCATTAGAAATGAATGCTCAATGGGAACAAGGCAACAGTACCTTCCACAAGGTGCTAGAATCATGCTAGCTCCTCATGAATGAAATGGCCCAAGGGGAAAGTGGAGTTAAGTCTAAAAAACACCATCTCTATTTCTACTGATATGTAACAACTCAATCCATATAAAGAAATGGATCTCAGAAATATTACATATAAACCAACATATAGGAGAGAATATTTCCAACTCTAATGAAAGTTTACAGCAGGAGATTCTATGGTAATGTACACTTTTTAATCTGAATAACAGTTGCATGATTATTTTAATATAATTATTTGAAATATACACATGCTTAATATTCATATGAATATTTCACAATAAAACAAGTACTGCAAACTAAAAAGATGGAAGAGAAAAAAGACTGTCTGATTTCAAAAACCTAAGTTGGTGGCTACCAAGTATCAACCTGAAGATGAATGTCATGTTGACTGAACAAGCAGTAAATTGAAAACTTTTCTCTATCCTCAGAGATAGAATAGATAGAGGGCTAAGCATTTGTATTTTAGACAAGTCCACTGAGGTTTCTAACGAGGATGCAGGGCTGGTCATCACTACATAAGTTTCTTAATGGGAACAATGTATATCACCTGATCATAATTATCATGTCCATGGAAAAATGGCTCCTTCCGGAAGATCATACTTGCCAGCATACAACCCAAGCTCCACATATCCAAACTATAATCGTACATCTGCATTCAAACAAAGTAATTGTTATCATATGTGAATGCCCAGGCTTTTGACTTTAAAGCAGAAAATTGTCTATTATTAAAAAAACAAACAAACAAACAAAACAGACAAACAAAAAAGAAACCATTCCTCTGAGAAAAACCAGAGGCATATTATCTTTTCGTTTTATGCATTCATGCAATATTATAACAATGTGCACATACTACTTTAAATTGCTTTTTAAAAAAAACTTACATAAGAAAATCCCTGGTCTATGAAATCCTCTACCCCCACTTTAAACAGCACTGGGGATTGAATTCAGGATCTTGTGTATGTAAGACAAACACTCTAGTACTGGGCTACATCCCCACTCCCAGAGTCTGAAACTCTTCAATGCATCTGATAATAACCTAGGAAGAATGACCATGAAAAGTACCTCAAAGAATTTTCAGATTTTTAGAATGTGGTAAATTTAGGTATCCCCCCACTACCTTTGTGTATGTGTGTGTATCTTTATATACAGGGTGCAAGTTAGAGAAGCAAAGGGAACATTTTTAAGTTTACTCTTAAGATTGGTTAAACCTCGCTTATAATTTTCAAAAATTTTGAAATTTCTGACTAGAAAAAATATTTCGGGTATACTTTCCCTTAATTAAGGATCAAATACAGACCTATTGATATTCTCCCAACATTATGAGAACAAAAGCAACACAAATTATGGGAAATAAAGTGATTCATGTTACATTTCACATAAAAAGGACTGCTATGGATGTACATAAATGGCTTATTCAAAGGCTCAAAGTGATGTAATTTGTAAATTATGTGCAAAACAACATAGGACCAAAATTGTACTTGCCCTTCTCTTCTCACCTGATAGTCTACAAGTAGCTCGGGACCTTTGAAGTATCGGGAAGCAACTCTGACATTATATTCTTGGCCAGGATGGTAAAACTCAGCTAAACCCCAGTCTATTAGCCGTAGCTAAAAGGAAAGAGAGAGAATAAACCATGAGCAACTTTATCTTCCTCTAAGCTATTTCCATTGGGCCACTATAGTATTCTATTAAAAAATATCACCTACGTCACTCTTTATTGAAACTCCTTTATTAGCTTTTATAATAATTAAATTTAGCTTGACATTCAGCTTTTCCCATGAAATAGTTTATGAAGACACTCTAATTTTATGTCTCTCCGAATTTCTTTCTTTTTTGTGTTACTGGGTGGAGATTAAACTCAGGGCCTGGCACATGGATAGTACTCTATCCCTAAACTTTATCCCCAGCCCATCTCATTGGACTAAATTAATGCTATTCAACTTACTAGTGAACATTTTCTTTTGGGATACTTAAGTTAGCTCCTCAATGAAGTCTTTTCTAATCACCCAAGTAGAAGAAATCATTGCCTTTAGTTCCCTGAACTTTAGGTATATTTCTTTAACTCTTTATTGTCTGTTTTCCACCTTTCATTTTAAATATGGACTGTCAACTCCTTGAGTTAGTTAAAAACTGTTTTAGTTACCTTTGTAATTTTTAGAATTTAACACAATACCTGGTACACAGGAGGAAAAAAAAAATACTTGCTGAGTGAATGAAGTTTTAGAAAAGTCACATATATAAATAAAACTTTTACCAAAATGTGTCCTGAAAGTAGAAAAAGGACAAGTAGAGACAAGAGATAACCCTATTTGACCATAGGCAAAGCATGACCATACTCTGGTGTGAGCAGCACACCTTGAGGGAAAATGACTGACTGCTCTGGAGTAAGTCACTGTATACATCTCAAATCTAAACCTGATTATTCCCTGAAAATCAACTCCATTCAGTTTCCTTCTCAGTAAAAGATGACCTCAAGCAACCTGCCATTCAGGCCAATTTTAAGATTCACCTTCTGTTTCCCTCACACCTCCTATTTAATCTGTCATCAAGTCCTGCTGCTGTGCCATATTTTGACCATTACCATCACCTCCTCAATCCATTCTACCACCATCTTGTCTGATTTACTGCATTTGCCCCCTTTCCTAAGTAATATCCCTGCATTTACTCTTGCCTTCTATCATCTACACAGCAACCAGAACATTTCTTGTAAACCTGTTTATTTTAGAACAATTAGAGGTCCACAGGAGGTTGCAAAAATAGTAGCAAATCTGTGTTCCCTTCAATGGGTTTCTCTCAATAGCAACATCACACACACCTAAAGTACAATAGCAAAAGCAGGAAATTGATACTGGAATAATTCATAAGTCTTAAATGCACTCATGGAGGTGCATGTGTGCAGTTCTATACAATTTTAATCACATCACTTTCACCAAAAGATACAGAAGTGTTCCATCACCACGGAGATGTTTCACGTGCTGTCAATTTCTAGTAACCTGTGTTCTCAATCTCCTTGGTTCTTTCATTTTTAGAATTAGCATATAACTTTTTGAGATGTGTTTTTTCTCTCAGTATAAAACCTATCCAAGTTACTGCATGTAATCAGAGTTGCTTCCTTTTATGGCTAATATTATACCATAATAGGATATGGTAAAGATATATAATACCAGTATTTTTTAACCATTCACCCATGGAAGCATGTTTTTTTCCCCTCAATTCTGAGCTATCACAAATAAAGCTACATTTATGTATATTGGTTTTTGTGTGGACCCAAGTTTTTTTCTTTGAGATAAATGACACAGTTGGATTATATGGTATACAAATATTTAGCTTAATAAAGTGACAAACTACAAACTGGAAAACAACAGTTTAATATTTTCCAAGATGCCAAATTTTGTATTTCCAACAGCAAGGTATCAAGTTTCTTTACAACCTTGCCAGCTTTTTAAAATTTTAGCTGTTCTAATACGTATACAATGAACATTAAAACGCAAGTGAGAATATATCAATATTCTGCTCAGACCTTGAAAAAGCTCTCCATTTTCAGAGACAGGGACTGACAATTACCTCTTAAGATGTGCATAACTTGATTCTCCTTACCTCTGATCTCATTTCCCTCTTTTCTCCATTTTATCCCATTTCCATCCTTATTGCTGTTCTAACATGCGAGGCTGTGACATTATCATACATACATGTGCATACATATGTGTATGTACACACACACACACACAAGCTTGTTTTCATCCATAGTTCCTTGCTGATGATTTCCATAATACCTATTCCTTAAATAACTAGAATGTGGAGTATCTCTTTTGCTGAAGTATTTGGCCTTTTGTCCTTGGTTCCTGAAGCAGTTTCAGAGCAATACAGGTAAGACAATTAATGCTGTGGTACTTTAGGACTTAGAAAACAAGATTTCTTGCTGCCTTCCTTCTTTCTATACCTTTTTCCCCTCAATGAAGACCACAGAACTGAATTTCTCTTAAGGTGAATCACAGAACTGAAAACCTGTTTGAGCTGGCCACATTGTAAGAGTTCTGAGAAAGAGTTGTGGGAACTCCAGTTAAACACTAACCATAACCCTAACCCTAAGACCACTATTTCAGAAGAGGTCCTGTGCCATTTCGGGGAGGAATACTGTACAGAAAGGCCAAGAAGAATCTAAACAGACAGGATTTGATGAGTTTCTCCTCTTAGTCTATTAGCATTAGATCATACTCTTTCTGTGCAATCACTTTGCTACACAGTTGTCCATGTTACAATCACACTTATGCAATAAAGTCTCCATGAAAGTCCAAAAGGTCAGGGTTCAGAGAACCTCTCAACAGCTGAACATGGGGAGGTTCCAAGAGGGTGATGTGCCTGGAGATGGCAAGGAAGCTGCACCCCTTCACACATGCCTTGCCCTGTGCACCTATTATTTCTGTAATATCCTTTATAATAAACCAGTAAATGTATTTCCCCTAGTTCTGAGAAAGGGGTTGTGGGAAGTCCAAGTTAAAGCCAGTTAGTCAGAAGAAAAATGTTAAAAAACCTGGGGCTTGGGATTAGTAGCTAAAAAAGGTAAGAGGGCAATCTTGGAATCTAATGTTATCTTCAGGTCAGAAATGAATCAAATTAGAGATGTTGTCTGCAGTAGAATTAATTACTGGCTTACTGGTGGGAACAAATCCCCATGCTTTTGGGGGTTACAGAAGTGATCTCTGTTTGGGGGAAAACAGTTTAAGTAGGTTCTTCCTCTTAATGTTCAGACAGGCACATTCTTGCCTGTTTGCTATTTCCTTTACCTGAAACATATTTCCCCTGAGACAGCATGGCAGGGATTCTTCCAGTGTTTACTAAGATGTCACCTTCCCAACTAAAGCTTCTCTTAACCCTTTTTTGAAACAGCAACACCCTTGGCCATTCAGTACTCCTTAATTTTTGGTCACCTCAAAAAATGTGGCCGTCACACTTCCCATGTAAAGCAATAGTAGAGGTGAGGCCTCGGATGCTTATTAACCAAACTAGCATTTTCTAAATATTTCAGCCACTTCACAGCTATATACTTTTAATTCTCACATTTAACTTAATGGTGTACAAGGCAATCATTACACTCATTTATTTTTCTTTTTAATATTTATTTTTCAGTTTTCCGTGGACACAACATCTTTTATGTGGTGCTGAGGATCGAACCCAGGGCCCTGCAAATGCCAGGCGAGCACGTTACCGCTTGAGCCACATCTCTAGCCCCATTACACTCATTTCACAGGTAAGAAAAAGAAGACAAATGAGAAAAGGGTTTCTCAGAAACAAATTATTCAATAAGAAAGACTAGAAACAAAGTTTCCTGGTCTAGACAAATGTTTTGTCCACTATACTCATCTGTTTCCTTGACAGTATTCCTAGGCATATAAACAATGGTTTAAAAATGGTGATTTAATTAATCTAGTCAGTTACCAAATATTTATCAAAAAAAGCACCTGTAACCATAACAGATACTAGGGATAAAGTGTTGAAGATTCCATCATGCAGATAAATAAAATCTGTTTATCTCTTTACCTTTCTGTGCTCATGATCAATCATGACATTATGGGGCTTCACATCTCTATGCATAATTCCCATGCTGTGACAATAATCCAGGGCCTGTGGGAGGAGCAGATAAAAGTCAGGTTTCTTAATACAGTTCTTTAATTTTTTTTTTCTCCAACTAAATTTTCCTCCTATCTTCTGGAGACAACCCTAGGAATCAGGATTAGGACAATCACTTCTACAGCTATTTTTCAGAGATTTTTCCCAGGATTCCATAGACAAGCAAACTCAGGTCTCTGAACTTCAAGTTCTGTTCTTTTTTTTTTTTTAATTACCTTTATTTATTTTTATGTGGTGCTGAGGATTGAACCCAGGACCTTGCACGCGCTAGGCAAGCACTCTACAGCTGAGCCACAACCTCAGCCCTCAAGCTCTGTTCTTTACAGAGTTGTTTCAACTACCTTTCTATTCAGAAAGACCCAAAAGTATATACCAGTTGCACCACTTCCAATTTTGCCTCTTATCCAAAATCTAGATTATTTCCATAAACATAGGCCTCATAAAAGAAAACCAGCCTATATGTAAACCTTATATCTGAAGAATACGTGTTTAGCAGCTAAGAGTTTATAACAGAGATTGGAAAACCAAGGCCTATGGACCAAATCTGGAGGTTGTTGTCCATTTTTGTGAACAATATGTTATGGCACAAAGTCACATCTATTTATTTGCATGACTATTTCTTTTCTTTTTTAAATTTAAATATTTATTCTTAAGTTTTAGGTGGACACAATATTTTTAATTTACATTTATGTGGTGCTAAGGATCGAACCCAGGGCCTCATGCATGCTAGGTGAGCACTCTACCACTGAGCCATAACCTCAGCCCCATGACTGCTTTTACGTTTGTAAGAACAGAGCCAAATGGTATGACAAAGACCCCATTGGCTCATAAATCCTAAATATTTACCATTCAGACTTTTAATGAATTTTGCAAACCCATGATCTAGGTCATCCAATCCCATCTGAAAAGTTTCCTACCCCAAATTAAGATGAACTGAATAATCTTTGGGGTTCATTAATTCTGGTCTTTTAGTCAACTGATATCATTACCCAAGTTCTTTTCTTTTTTTTTTGGAGGGGGGGTGGTGGTGGTGGTACTAGGGATTAAACCCAGGGGCGCTTTACCACTGAGTTACATCCCTGGCCCTTTTTGAGCTGAGGGCCTTGTTTAGTTATGGCTGGCTTTGAACTTGTGATCCTCATCAAAGTTCTTGTCCTAACTTAAGGGCAACTTGGATTCCCACAATTCTCAGGACTAGGCAAGCATATTCATAACTTTCTGAAGCCTTGCTTGCCATAGGACTCCATGGGCCAATGGACAGATCAAATATCTCCGAATGCTTGATGTTAACCCTGTTTAATAAGAAACCTTAGCCAAGTCTTAGCAACTCTCTCCTCTATAATAGAGCAAGATATTTGATGATCCCACTTGAGAAATCAAAGTTCACTCTCAATCACCAATCCCTAAACAGAGATTTATATAATCCTGAGGACAATGACCCTCTGAGGCTCAGTTAACGTTTGCTGTTTTACTTGTTGAATCATAAGTGAAATAAAAGTAAAGCAAAAGCTATCACATCAACTGTTTCACTCTCAGCTCTTAACATCTCTTTCAAAGGATTCTAAGTTATATTCCTACTAGACCCTATCCCCACAACCCTTACAAAAGTCTAAAGATTTTAATACCATTAGCTGTTGAAAACTTGAATGTGCAGGGTCCAGTGATGCACACCTATAATCCCAGTTGCTTAAGAGACTGAGCAAGGAAAGTAAAATTCAAGGCCAGCCTGGGCAACTTGGTGAGATCCTGTCACAAAATAAAAAGGGCTAGGGATGTAGGTCAGCAGTAGAGCGCTTACAAGGCCCCAAATTTAATCCCCAGTACTGAAAAAATACAAACGAACAAACCCACTTATATGTTTTCCAAAACACTTCACAAAGTTTATTCACTGGCTTTTCTACCATCAGTGGGACTATTTTACAAAGGTAAGACCAATTAAAATTAAAAAGATATTTGACATCCAAAGATCCTTACCTTCAGAATCTCATACATGTAAAATCGAATATCATAGTCTGTTAACGTCTGGTACAATTGCTGTCAAAGACAAATGCAATATTTGAGCCACAAAATAATGCTAAGAAGAAAGCAATTTCTCATTCTCACTCATTGTAATTCAAATTAAGACCTGGTTCCTTTGCCACACTTAGATCTGTCTGTTCATTGCTTTCTATATCTCCAACATAACATTCACTTAGAATTTGAGTCTTCATCTCTACATGTAAAAGTGAAGAATTACTTACTTAAATATATTGCTGAAGCTAAATCTACTATACTAATACATGTTAACAATTTAATTTGTTTTTCCTTTACCTTCAGACCTCCTTTATAAAAGGCATTTTGGCAAAGACAGAACTTCTTTAGTAGGGAACTAACCCATCTTTGACTTACACAGTCAGCACTACAAATCACTAGTGGGTATACAGATGGCACAATGCCAAACCAGTTAAGCCAATTTAAAAGAACTATTCCAGTCTCAAGCTGAAAATAAATAAAAACAGCTGTATATAATTTTTTCAGTCTCCAAAAGGTTGCAGAATTTTTACATGTACATCTTTAAATGGTTAGTGGTATTATCTGACAAAGTTTACATTGAAGTTATTGTTCTGATTCGAAAATAGTTCCTCTTCTTTTTTCTCCTCAATAAAATGCACACATTTATTAATAACTAACAGTCTTCATATGACTGGTACAAGGACAGGTCAAATACCTTACAACTTGTACTGTAATAGAGTACCTACATTTTCCGTTGTACTGGAATTAAGAACTGTGAAACAAGTAAGTCTCTGGATGAGCTAGGATTCAGATATTGTTGTAGAGGTAGAACCCTTCTTTATTCCTCACCTCTTAAGATTTATGGCTCAAGGGGCTGGGGGTGTAGCTCAGTGATAGATAGGGCACTTATCTAGGGATGTGAGGCTCTGGGCTTAATCACCAGTACCACCTGGGGGAAAGGAGATCCCAAAGTTTCTGAGGAATCCCAGTGATGATCAAAACACAGGGGTCATTATAAAAGGGCAAAATATGGAAAGTGGGTATTAATCGTATAAGGATTTTTTTCTTAAGTCTTAAACATTTTGCATCATAAGGATGAAAAACTGATTTAAAACCACTAAGAAGCAAGCTCTTTTAACCATCACCCCCAGAAAGGTTTTCCATGTGGTCTAAAAACCCAACAGCTTAAAATGGTTGGCTATATATTATACCTTGAAGTCTGTGTTGTTTACGTGTTCAAAAACCAAGGCAGGGGTTCGTGACTAGGGGAGAGAAAAAGAAAACACACATTAGTAATAGCCTTGGCAGCTTTTGTGGGCACAAAGTTTGTGGATGCTGTGTGGTGAATTTGGCAGTCCTTGCCTCAGAAGTAAGGAACCCTTTATTGCTACAAGCCCCCCCACTCTGATCGTCACCACACTTAGGTCATTTTTTGGGATGGATTTCAAACAGAAGACATGGAGCTGAAGTCTCACCAGGCTCTAGGCAGCCCGACATTGCGCCCATCGCCCATCGGCATCGGACCTGAGTTTGCAAAATGGATTAACACATTTCAGTTTCCAGTGCTATCAGTCTCTTAGCCTAGAAGAATAAGAAATAGTCTGTGGGTGGAGGTCTCTTTGAAAGAAAGACCTAAGCTAGTTAAATGGTATATCTGATTAAGCACTTATAATGCCAGACTGAATGGTGAAAGGGAGAATAGAAAGAGGCAAGTTGTGCTCCAATTCCAAGACCACCTAGGCCCCGGGGGGCCTTGCTAACACCTACTATACTCACCACAGGGTCTTTTACAATGTCTGCCAGTGTGATGATGTTGGGACCGCCTCTCAAATTCTCCAAAATCTTTATTTCTCGCTTAATTTTCTTCTTTTTTACTGGCTGAAAGGGTAAACGTATATCAGCAAAAACAATTATTTCAGAGTATTTTAACAGGTAGGATAATACATAAATGGCTTACTTATGAGCTCCTTGAAGGAAGGAAATGTGTCAGACTCGTCTCTGTATCCCCTTCTCCTACCACTGTGCCAGGCACTCTGCAGGTACTTACAAAAGTTGAATTAAAGGGGAAAAGATTTCCACTCCAAAGGCTATAGTTCCACAGAATTAGCATTTAATTTCAATTGACAGTCTTAATACATTGTTTTAAAACCTTACAAACTAGCAGTTTAAATGGCTGGTAATCCTAAGGTATACTGTAAAAACACTTCTTGTCCTCTAGGATGAAACAGTGATTCTCTTCATTCCTTCCTCTAAGTGTGTGACCCTATGTGAAGAAAACAGGAGCAACAGCAAGGACGGCCAAACTGTTTCTGTGCAGCATAACCTGTGAGTCAGGTGTGGGCTTCATAGTCATGACTGCTATCGGTGCCAGCCCCATCTCCATTCCTGCTGGCTGTGTACCCTTGGGCAAATTTCTTAACTTCTTTAAGACTTTCATTACATGTAAAAGAGGACCCAGCAAGAATCAAATGAGGTTATCTGAAAAGACCTCAGAACATGGTTGGGCATAACACAGAAAATACATGTTTAGCCTTATCTGAAGAGTGTAAAACAATGCTGGCTCAAGAAAAATATGATGCAAGCCACATGTGTAATCTTAAAGGTTCAATAGTCACATCAAATAAGTAAAAATAGACATTAATTTAAAAGTATGTTTTATTCAACTTATATTCAAAATCTTATTGCCCCTTGCTTTTTAAATTCTGAGACAGGTCTAGTTGCTTAGGGTGCTGCTAAATTACTGAGGCGGGCCTAGACCCGGGGATCCTCCTGTCTCAGTTTCCTAAATTGCTAGGATTACAGGCATACGCCACCACACATGGCCTAAATCAGAATGTTGAGGATGAAACTGGGAATGTATTTTTAGATAGTTCCCAGGTTGATGATCTAGGTCCAGGAACTACAGTACTATAAAACTCTTTTAACCTAAGTTCTAGTTCTGGTACAGCAGGAAGCAAGCAGGTTTTAGAAACAGTCCTAAAAGCCTAGCTTCGTAGCTATATGGCTTTGGGAAAAACATCTAAAGGTTTCTCAACTTTATTTTTATTACTGGTGGAAAAGGACTATAGTTCCCTCAGAGTTGTTGTGATATGTATGTCCCATTGCAAAGATGACACTTAATAGAAGTAAGTATTTTTTATAGTCACTTTTATATAGTCCACATTCAATTCAACTCAAAGCTTTACCTTGCTCCTATGAGAACTCAGTACATTAGCTGGCTGGCTGGGAAGCAAGGTGATCAGTATTCCCATTTTGCTTCACCAGATCAGATCTTTTTGATCTGTGGGCCTATCTAGGAGATTTTCTCCCCTCCAGAGACAAACCCATCAATCTACCGCCTGTTTTCTACTACATTACTATTTCCCAATAGCTGATTTATGGCAAGACGACAACAACAACAACAACAAAACAACCAACAACTATTGGTCTACAAATCTTTTATTTAATCTTAACTTCCAAAGTTGGTTTAATATGGACCAGGTAGGTGACTTACACCCCAGTTCAATGTGATCACTGTAACTTTTACTGGATAAAACAGGCAGAGATAGACTAAAATTTTTCTTAAGAAAAAAAAAAAAAAATTCTGAGTTGAGGAGATCAAAATATGGCCTTATGCATGATAGATAAGCACTCTACATTTGAACTACATCCAGTCCTAAAAATTTTAAATATAGTTTGTGAAGGACATTTATACATCTACCTTTTAAGACTGTGAGGAAATTCAGAAATTATCTTTTCTAGGAAGGTGAGAGCCATTGGTGGTCATGACTGAACAGTGATTTAGAAATTTATTTTCAGCCCAGTTTTCCTAACTATATACGGTATAGTATACTTTCTCTCTCTCTCAAATATATATAATAAGTATTATCATCTCCTTAAAAGACATATAAAGGGGGGGCTGGGGCTCAGTGGTAGCTCAGTGGTAGAGTGCCTACCTTGCACTGTGAGGCACTCAGTTCGATCCTTAGCACCACATAAAAATAAATAAGGGTATTATGTAAATTTACAACTAAAAAAAATATTTTAAAAAATACATATATAGGGCCTGCAGCTGTAGCTCAGTGGCAGAGTACTTGTCTAGCATGTGTAAGGCACTGGGGTTCAATCCTTAGCACTGCATAAAAATAAATAAAATAAAGGTATGCTATCTACCTACAACTACAAAAAGAAATTTAAAAATAAGACATATTTTATATATATTTCATCCAAAGATTGCTGAAAACACTTTCTTCTGAGCAGCTCATGGTACCTTCTGCAAAATAGACCATATTTTAGGCCACAAAGCAACTCTTAGCAAATTAAAAAAATGACATAAATAACATTTTCTCATTCTATCATATAGTTTCCAGTATGAACACCATCTTACAATAACAGAATTTCAGGCACCAAGTAAGTCACCATACACATTTTCATATCAGATCCCTATAAAAAGCCTAAGAAAGGTAGGTAAAACAAAATTCTCTCACTTTCACAATGAACTACCATGGTTGACTGCTATTAGAGTTTGGATTAAAGTGCAAGTGTTCTGATTTCCAGCCTACTTCTCTTTCTTCATGTGATGTCAGATATAAATATTTAAATAATGGTTCTGAAATGGTAATGAAGAACCCTAGCAAATTCCCAGGGTCACAGTAGAATACTTTAAATTTTGAGGGAAATTCATCAATCACACTTGATATTAGCAAGACAGAAAGTACATTACCAGCCTGAGGTAGTTCGTAGTTTCAACATTTGTTTGCATTGTATGTCTTTTTGAGGACCTATTTTTATGAAGCTGGGTTTTCAGGTTGTTGCTGTGATAAAAGCAAGTACTATGCAAAAAGTCAGTGTAGACCAGGAAATGAGCATGGTGGTGTCCACACAGATCCCAATATTTGAGAAGCAGTGAAGTATACACATCTCAATAGCAATCAATTATGGTTACATAAGAATAATTATTTCTTTAAATGAATGTGTATCAATCTCTTGATGGCCACCAACTTGTTAAATATAATCACTTTATTATCCTAATTAGAATAAGATGTACTCCATGCTTGTATAAATAGTTCAAAATAGACTACTGTCATTTATTAACTAAAAAGAACACATAAAAATTTAAAGAAATAACTATCAGTTATTTATTTGAACAAAGTTCCTATTAACATACAGAACCATTAGGTATTTCTTTTGGCTTAGGATTACCATAAAGAAAGAAACAACAACAAAACACCATTAAGACAATGTAAAAATGTATCTGCTGTAAATTAGAAACAGCTTGGCTTGTAACCGAGTTGGTTACCTGTAGTAAGAACTATGGAATAAATTCCCAACAATAGTGCACACTATAGTAATAACTAAATTAAAAGTTGCATATTAGTAGCCCATTGGCCAAATATGGACTGTGCAGGTTTTGTTTTTTTTTAATCTTGAGTCATTTAAATAATCAGGTATTCATACATTAACAACAGTTTCTGGCTTCTTTTTGTAAAACAGAAATTAAGCAACAATGGAGTTGTACTGCAAAAAGAAAACAAAGACTGAGAAGCAGCGACCTCCTTCTGAAGGGATATGTGCTTCCCGATTTGCATCAGTCCCTATCACATCACCTCAACACAGGAAATTACACCAGACAAGATGCACTGATGTCTCTGCTTGTCTCTTTAAGGTCTGCCTTTGTGCCCTCTCATCCTTTTAAAGTAGAGGTAATGATTTATTTATTGAAAACAAAACCATAGACAGTAATTAAAAATTTAGGAAATGAATATTAGGCAAAACCTAGGAGACAATGTGTTTACTTTCATTCTCTGCCACAGCATAACTATACGACTTGAATCAAGTCACTTCTTTGCTTCAGGTCATTATCTGTCAAACAAGGATTACCTGTTCTATCAACTTCAGAGAATATAATAAAATAAAGGAGTGAAAGCACTCCAAAAACCTCTCAAATGAGGTTATAAAAAGGCATCACTATTATTTTTAAAAACCTACATTCTAAATACCTCTAAAATCCTCTCTCTTATACTCACCTTGAGAATTTTAACAACAACTTTTTCATTATTTGTGATGTTGATGGCTTCGAATACTTCACTGTATTTACCCCGGCCTAACTTTCTAACCAGCTGATAGTCATCTTGATTTCTGTAGACAAAAAAAGTCAAAGTCACAATGATTTAAAAAGTTCAAATTATCAAGCAGCAAGCCAACTTATAAAATTCTATTACAGTAGGAGTTAGAAAAGGTTTTTCAAATGTTGTACTGCATTTTTGTTTCATACTGATGATTGAACTCGTGAGCACTCTACACTGAGCTTCATCTTCAGTGCTATTTACTTATTTAGGCTACTGGGATTGAACCCAGGGCACTTAACCACTGAGCCACACATCCCCAGTCCTTTTTAAAATATTTTATTTAGAGACAGGGTGTCACTAAGTTGCTTAGGATCTCAATAAGTTGCTGAGTCTGGCTTTGAACTTGTGATCTGCCTCAACCCTCTGAGCCACTAGGATAACAGGCAATACCACTGCACCAACTGCTTTTTATTCTGAAGCAGGGTCTTGTTAAGTTGCCAGAGATTACAGGCATGCACAACGACAACAGGCTCCACATATTTTTAATTGGCCTAATTTTTAAAAACAGAGTGCAAAAGCCTGGCACCAGGGTACATTCTTGTAATTCCAGTGCCTCAAGAGGCTGAAGAAGGAGGATCACAAGGCGAAGGCCAGCCTTAGCAATTTAGTGAGAACCCCTGTGTCAAAAAAAGGCTGGGGATATAGCTCAGTGGTATAGAGCCCAGTAGTGGGGATGGGGGCACCAAAATCCCAGAAATTGAAAAATGAAGCCTTTCAATGATTTCTTCAAATCCCAACTGCTTATATACCCTGACATTCCACAAATGTTTAGTTCTTATTAGAATTTGTTATGTATGTTTTCAACAAGTATTTCTCTTAGAGATGGGCCTCTTTGCAGGTTAAGTGGCTTTAAATACATAAGCTTGATTTCCCACTTGCTCTCCAAGGCAAACACGGAGAATAATCCATGTTACAAAGTTCACAAACCACACTGCAGACCATAAACCATGGTTAGGGGTCCCATTCTCTACTTTGACTCATACTCCATCATTAAGAAGCAATGTCAATTGTCAAAAACAGAGGTTAAAAAAAAAAAAAAAGGGGAAATGTCACTTTTCCTGCTCTTGCTTCCAACTTAGAGGCTATGCTGTAAAGAATGAAAAACATGGCTTCACCAACAGGTCAAAATTTCATTTACTCTCAGAATGTATTATTTTCCATGGCAGTCATTCATTTCCCTCAGAAAGCTCAAACAAGTGAGTGAAAAGAGAAGGCAAAGGTACTAAGAGCAACAGACAATGTAACAATCCTGGAGGTCTAGGGGAAGGAACCTTTCTTAGTTCTCATTAAAGTTCTCCTCCTATGTGAGGGCATATAAAACAAACCCAAGCAAGCAATGGCACCATGCCAAAAAATGACAAAGGACTGTTTAGTGCCACTTCAAGCAGAACTAAATGTAAAGCACTCGATCTGCAAATAGTGGTTCATATTACCTAGAGTCTGAAGTCTGGCACACATTTACTGGTATTGTGCCTCTGGTTCTTGATGATATCTTTAAAGCACACAGTGTGCCTCTTTATGCAGAGACAAAAGTATTTACTGCTAAGAATCATTGCATAACCACTATAAAGAATACAACCTCAGAAAATTCAGAGAGACAGTTGTGAACCACTTATATAGGCTATGTAATCAGAGCTGTATCTTTATGAGCTTTCGTGCTTTCTTTTGCACTTGAATGTCAAAACAGTTTTATCACAAAACTATGATCAGATCAATTAAATGTAATGCCACACTGGGACAGGAAATGCAAACATTTAAATGAGTCTGCACAGAGAATCAGAAGGGCAAACACAGCTGTTCAGGCAGACTACAACTGTTCAAGATGGAATCTGGGCTGAATTCCATGTTAAAAATGCCTAGTCTCATGATAAGGGCAAATGTTTAAGGATTTAATTTTGCTTCTCATCAAAAATAGGACACCTTTCTGGAGAACTGTTCCATCCGTTAGTATCAGCATGGGACAACATTCGCTGACCTCAAAAATACTTTATGTAAGAGTTTTGTGTTTTCAAAGTCTCTCAGGCACTAATTCTCACCTGTTTGCAATAACCTTAGCTTGAGACACAAGCTCATAGCTACCACCTTCATGTACAAAATATATAAATGAGAGAAAAGGAAACATAGAAAATGATTTTTAAAGTCAGTCCTTCAAAATTGTTACCTTACCAAAACAATCCTCTGCTTCTTTACTACAGAACCAAATTTGCAGCTCAAAAAAAAACAAAAACAAAAACAAAAAGAGATCACAAGCTGAACTTCAACCTTGAGGTCTGGAGAAGCAGAGTTGGGAAGATTTACTGACTCAATGAATCCACAAGACTCAGTATTCTGAGTGAGGACAGTGAAGTAAATAGGAATAATTACCCCCATTCCACCACATGTGACTCATAATCCCAGTACTCTCGGGGTCTGTGTGTATTGACATCTGTGTAAACTCTGGCCCTGCTTGGCACGGGTCCCGACATGTCAGACAGGTTGGCGGACAAAGCTGAACTTGAGGCTTGAAGATCTGGCAGTCACTGTGTGCAGAGATGGCTGGGGGTAAGACCTTGTTTCAGACCTGTTTTCTTCAAACTGCAGAAACAAAATGCAAAAGTCCAATAAATTATTATTATTTTTAAGTACAGAGGAAGAAAAAAGTTTTACAAATAATAACGGCCTTAATTATACCTTAGGCTCTCCTAACTATTAATCCATGAATAAATCCCAACTATGTTAACCACAATGTTCTTCTTTTTTTTTTTTTTTTTAATTTCTTTTAGTTTAGTTGAACACAATATCTTTTATTTTTATGTGGTGCTGAGGATGGAACCCAGGGCCTTGCACATGCTAGGCGAGTGCTCTACCACTGAGCCACAACCATAGCCCCACAATGTTCTTATTAATATGGAGGGGGGAAAAAATCCTAAGATAGATACTAAAACTTGATGTTGGTCCGAATCATATTTTGCAAAGCAGTCTATAACTTCTGTATGAAATGAATGTTCTTTGTAAAATAGTCTAGAAAAGGCAAAAATGGCATTGAGAATAGATAAATCAGCATTTACCACTGTTCACACATTACACAAAGTACTGGCAGGAACAGTACTTTCCTTTCAGCAGCTTTCTACAACTTAAGAAGGAGTGCCAAAAGGTTCTAGAATGGTGGCAAAGTTGAGAATACAAATTGTCAGTTTGACTTTAATATCTGATGAAAAACAGAAAGAAAATAATGTCATATATCTTAAATGTTATCTTATACTGATCCAAATCATTCAAAGAATCTTATATATTGGGGCTGGGGATGTGGCTCAAGTGGTAGCGCGCTTGTCTGGCATGCGTGCGGCCCGGGTTCGATCCTGAGCACCACATACACACAAAGATGTTGTGTCCGCCAAAAACTAAAAAAACAAATATTAAAAAAAAAAGAATCTTATATAATAATTAGCAGACATTTGAACATTGGAAAGACGTTTGATTTCATTAAATCTAAAAACAGAAATCAGTAATTTCCTCTTGCTTTGTTTAATATAGAAACTTAATAAACACAGTATTAGGTATTTCAGCTAAGCTACTGCAAAATGATTCTAACAAATCAGTCTATCAAGTCAAATGCATCCCCTGACTATTCCAACCTTTTGTCTTCATTCTCTGAAAATCCTACAGCATTCATTGATTCCCTTTACTATGCATTTTAATTAAAATTGTACTGAGTCTTTATATATGATAATTAACACATCTTCTATGTAGTTTTCTGGTTGAGACTGATCAGTCTCAAATTATTAGGAAACACTGGACAAACAGAAAATGAGAAAGCATCTTTAAAAGAAAGGGAGATTCTAAGTAATATTATTATCATAAAAGAAAAAGGGCTGGATGATGTGGCACACTCCTGTAATCCCAGTGGATCAGGAGGCTGAGGCAGGAGGATTCCAAGTTAAAAGTCAGCCTCAGCAATTTAGCAAGGCCCTAAGCAACTTGGTGAGACCCTGTCTCTAAATAAAGTACAAAAAAGGGCTGGGGATGTGGCTCAATGGTTAAGCACCCCTGGGTTCAACTGGTACCAAAAAAAGAAAAGACAAAGGAAGGCTAACGACATATGAGTAAATGTAATACATTATTCTAGACTGTACACTGTACTGCAGGGTTGGGATGATATGAAAACAACAATAACAATGGAGCATGGATGAGAGATTAGTGTGCTAATAAAAATTATGAAGCTGGCACAGACTTATTTATGATAGTTAAGAGAATATCATCTATTCTTACAAAATTTTCCTGACGCCAGGCACAGTGCTATAATCCCAACAGCTCAGGTCAGGAGGCTAAGGCAGAAGATTGCAAGTTCAAAGCTAAACTCAGCAAAAACGAGGCACTAAGCAGCTTGATGAGACCCTGTCTCTAAATACAAAATAGGGCTGAGGATGTGGCTCAGTGGTTGAGTGCCCCTGGGTTCAATCCCCAGTGCAAAGAAGAAAAACTTTTCCTGAAGTCCTTAAGGTAAAAGCTCATGATGTATATAATATACCCTTAAATGGTTCAGAAATAAATGTGCCCACATGTGTGTATATATAAAGTACACATGAAAGCACAATCACAGGGTAAAATATTACAATAATAAATCTGGCTTAAGGGGATACATACATCCTTTGTACTATTATATGTTTTTGTGCAAACATTTTAAAAAATTGTGTTAAAATATGTAAAATATAAAATTTAAACCATGCTAAAGTATACAGTTTAGTAGCATTGAACACATTCACATCCTTGTGCAACTATCACTACACCATCTGTTTTTAGAAATTTTCCCCATTCTGAACTGAAACTGCACCCATTAAACACTAGCACCTCACCTCTGGATTCTTGCATCTACAATTCTGTCTTCTGCTCTATGAGATGACTACTTCAAGTACCCTGTACATGCAGAACAAGACGATACCTGGTTTATTTAATTTAGTACAATGTCTTGAAGGCCCATCCACACTGTAGCATGTTTAAGAATTTCATTTCTTTTTAAGACTGAACGATAACTGGAATTTATACACCACTATTTTGGGGGGTAGTACTAGGGATTGAGCCCGGAGGTGCTTTCCTTTACCTATTTCAGTCTCTGAGCAGCTGTGATTTCAGGTAATGTGCCACCACACCCAGCTGTATTTACTGCATTTTGCTTATCCATTCATTTGCTGACAGGCATTTGGGTTGATTTCACATTCTACTACTGTAAATAATGTTGTGATGAACATGGATGTACAAATATCTGTTTGAGACTCAGCTTTCAATTCTTTTGGGTACATACCCAGAAGTAGGAATGCTCACTCAAATGGTAGTTTAATGCTTAATTTTTTGAGGAATTACCATTTTGCTTTCCACAAACAGTTATATCATTTTACAGTCTCACCAAAGTACACAAAGGTTCCCACACAGTACACAAAGTTTCCAATTTCTCCTAATTGGTATGAAGTGGTATATTATTGATTGTGATTTGTATTTTCCTAATGATTAGGGATGTTGAAGATCTTTTCATGTGCATATTAGCCATTTGTATATCTTCTCTGAAGAAATGTCTATTCAAAGCATTTATGCATTTTGTTGTCTGTTTTTGGTATCACAGGTATTCTACTTTTAACTTTTTTCTCCTATGTAAATTTGAAGTTATTTCCAATGAAAGTTTGAAACAGTATAAAAAAACCTCATGGCCATAAAGGGAAATTTATCCATAAACACACAGCCACTTGATAGCAGTAGCAAGGATCAAAAATCAAATTTCTGTCTGTCTTGTGACTGTGATCTCTCTTGCCAAGTAATCATAAACTAGTTAGATAACAATATAACTATAAGCATTTACTATGTGCCATATATTGCTTTATAAGGATTTATTTCATTTAATCCTTACCATAAGGAAGTAGTTAGGAAGTTGCCATTATCCTCATTTTTATAGAGGAAACTGAGGTAAAGAAAGATTAAGGGACCTGATAAAAAAAACAAGGGGCTGTATTTCATACCCGGTTGGCCTGTTTTCAGACTTTCAAAGAGTTAATTGTATTTACCATATAGGTTTGTAGGGAAGGACCGGAATTAATGTGATTATGCTTATTTGAAAGCTGTGAGCCTGGCGCAGTGGCCCATGCCTGTAATTGCAGCCACTCAGGAGGGTAGGAGGATCTTGAGCTGGGTCAAACTCAGTGCTTAGCAATTTAGCAAGGTCCTAAGCAGCTAGGTGAGACCCTGTCTCTAATAAAATACCAAAAATGGGCTAGGGATGTGGCTGAGTGTTAAGCGCCCCTGGGTTCAATTCCTAATACTTCCCCACCCACCAAAAAAGAAAGCTGTGAGATCTGTGAGGTTTTAAGCTAGAGTTTAGCTACCAAAGGAAGATAAGCCAGAAAAGATGCCTCTTATTCTGATGGTTTCAGAGGCTTAAAGCTTTCAGAGGAATAGCATGAGACCAGAAGGTGGGCAATGCTATGCTCCATATGTGTGAAAAACACAATCAATGATACCAGGGCTCCCCACCCCAAATACATGAAATTAAAATCATGTATTTACTTATGAATTCTCCTATCCAAGAAACTCGTGTAATTTGTTTCTATCCAACAGAAACCTTCTGGTGCCAGGCATGATGGCACACCCCTAGAATCCCAGGAAAAGCAAGGTGCTAGGCAACTCAAAATAAAATACAAAATAGGGTTGGGGACGTGGCTCAGTGGTTGAGTGCCCCTGAGTTCAATTCGCGGTACCAAAAACTAAAACCAAAACCAAATAGATAGACAGATAGATAGATAAAACAAAAACCCCCAACCTCTGGTGTTACATAAATGTATGTTCTCAATGGCCAGAAAACAACAACAAAGTCATTCAAAGTACCAAAACTTCTCCCACCCAGTACTGGGGATTGAGCACAAGGGCACTCTACCACTGTGCTACATCCCCTTCTCATCCAATATTCCTTCAGGCAGTACTGGGGACTGGATTCAGGGCCTTGAACAAGCAAGGTGAGCACTCTACCACTGAGCTATATCCCCAGCTCTTCGTATTTTTAATTTTTTAGACAGGATCGCACCAAGTTGCTGATGCTAGTCTTGAACTTTCTATCCTTTTGTCTTAGTCTGAGTTGCTGGGATTACAGGTATATGTCATACTTAAAAGTCTATAAAAATTTTCAAATATTTCTTTATTTTTACCAATAATAGTGCAAATTGAAACAGGCACACACCAAACAAACAAAATACCGAAAGCAGATACTTTTCTTATTGTATCTGCTTATCTTATATTTTCTTATATGTCCCAAAGACATATCATCTGAATTATAGGATAACTACTATGCCTACATTGACAGCAGGCAGAAGACATCAGGAAAACAGGTAAGATATGTGTGTGTGCTTAGTAAAACAGCCAAAATAATAAAGCAGCATTAAATGAACAGATATCTAAATATCTTTATAGACACTCTACTCTCCTGCACTTTTGTTTTTGTTTTATGGTACTGGTGACTGAATCCTGGGCTTCACATAAGCTAGGCTACGTGCTCAACCACTAAGCTATAACCCCAATCTTTTTTTGTTTTGAGGCAGAGACTAAGTTGCCCAGGGGAG